GGTCTGCTGAGTGTTCTGCCTGTTTTGGAAGTCCAGCAAGTAACTTTGTTTCAAGAACCGCAATCCTTTGTAGAAGTTTGCAGCAGTTCATGCAGCAAGTAGATTCCACAGGAGGCATTTTATTTCTCATCTGTTTGAATGTAGACAGCTGTGTTTTCCCTTCTCCGGAATGTAAGCTGCTGGCAGTGGGAGGCAAAGTCTTCTTTTTCGTGGTATTATTCCAGTCCCAAAGAGTTTTTAGTTTTAGTGTTTGTGCCAAAAATGTGTTGTTTGAGCACGGTGCTGATCTGCTGGAGTTAAAGTCTTAGACAAATCAGAGAAAAGTACAGAAATAGGAAGCAAAGCGCAGAGCAGTAAGCAAGAACGTCTGAACAGTAGCGAAGCCAGAAGCTCTCTGTAGTCTGTTATCCTCGCAGGTAGTCTGTTATCCTGCTCCATTGCCTGAGGGTCCACGGCAGCTTTGAGCTCCGTCACTACCCTCGCCATTGCTCATTAGCACAGTGCTGTGATATATGGTTCACATATTGTCAACTGCTCAGTTATGTTCACATTATCCTCAGCAAAGACCACGAGAACCAGACGAGTCCTCTGCATAGACCCTGTGGCCAGCTTTGACTCCTCCAAAATGTGATGTATTCAGTCTTCAAGCGGATGGATGTTCTGAGTGATGCCAGCCCACAATCTGACATTGCTGCAGCCTGGAATTAAACAGCTGGTTTGGTCTGGCCCCCCGACTGAGCCTGGTTTCTCCCAAGGTTTTTTCTCCATTCTGTCACCGATGGAGTTTTGGTTCCTTGCCGCTGTCGCCTCTGGCTTGCTTAGTTGGGGACACTTAATATCCAGCGATATCGTCGACTTGACTGCACAGACACTATTAAAACTGAATTGAGCTGGGTGCATTTCCCAAAAGCAACTATGGTCGCAAGTTCCGTCGTTACCAATAGAGTTAAATGGAACTAACGACTATAGTTCGCTAATGACATCACTGAATCAATGATGAACTCACTTTAACTTAAAAACTGACTGTTTTCTATTGTCCTCTTGCATTATCAACACACTTTTTTCTTGTTTGACACTGTAAAGCTGCTTTGACACAATCTGTATTGTATAAAGCGCTATAGAAATAAAGGTGACTTGACTTGACAAGACATAACCCTGTGTTGTGTCCCAAATTATGCACTACAAACTATGCACTTATACTATGCTTGTACTCTACTGTCTAATAAAGTAAAGCTGTGACAGCTGAATGCATGATGTGTCTAACATTTCACATTTTTCAGTTAATTAACTGCATCATCAGTTTATTTGAAGTACACTTAGAACAGAAAAGTACAAAATTGGGACACCTCTGGTTTCCTTTGCCGTGCTACTGATTATTGCTGCATGAAAGAGTTGCCTGTAGACATATTCATTACTAAAGGGCCTAAGAATCTGTTTTGATGATATCTCTATAATCGTGTAGATGAAATGGAGAGGTAAATGCACACACATTCTTTAATCTATGAGTGTAACTCAAATAGATATTGTTCAGATATTGTTCACATAACATGACACATTTCTTCGTCATCAAGTAATATAAAGAAAAGAGAAAGCGCTCGGACTGATTCTCCTACATCCTCAAAATCCAACATCTAAAAATATCTGCTGCTTGATCTTTTTTTAAAGAACAACACTGAGAATTTTTTTTTACAGGTGTCTTAAAACACATACATACCTATTTTTAATTTCTGTAGATCTGTAAAACACAAAATGAAAGATTTTTAGAGGAAGATCATTAATGTTTCTTCTAGAGGTAGTGCAGATGTATTTTCTAAGAGTCAGAGTGTGTTTTTCTTTACCTTTCAGTGACCACTCCTTCCTCCTCATCGATCGAACGCTCACCATACTCTCACTCTCTGCTAATGATGACACTGTCACAGAAATCACACACATACAAACACACTCTGATAAGCTTCTCTTCATAAGAGACTTCCTGTCACACATGTATTCTGTGCTTACTCTTCGAAATACTTCCGTCATTAATGAATAACTACACAGGGCACTCTAGTAACTACTATTAACCACAGAAAACTCTGATAAAAGCATAGGTAAGCAATAGTGATGCAGTAGTTCACTATTAGCTAATCAATAACTACTATTCTTTCATGCCTCCCAGAGGATTACTAAAAAACTATATAAATAATGTGAAAATGCAAAATACTTCTCAAACACTCCGCAGGAGTATAATCCAACAAATCTGCATTTTAAAAGCCAATTAAAAATGACAACAACAAAAAAAAGCAGTAAATAGAGTAACAATAGGGCAGGCAGGCAAACAAAGGGTCATGGCACATTTGCACACAGTTTTATTGACTAAAAAGAGCAAGACAATAGGGACAGAAACAGGTCACTTCAAAGAAACACAAACGGGACAAATCTGACAACAACTGACCAAACACAAGGAGAAATATTGGATATATATACACAAGGGTAGGGGAGGAAACTAGGAACAATTATGGGCTGATTAGCAGAAAAACTACAAAATGGCACAAGGAAACAGGAAATAAACCAAATGCAAACTAGAAGACCCAACCCCCCCCAAAAACACAGAAAACAGACAGACAGTGTAACAAATATTTCTGTAGGGGAATTATTAACAGCTTACCTATATCATAAAGCTGCTATTACCTATAGATTACGTAAGAGTTTAAATGTTAATTATAGTAGTAATTAAAATCTGAAATGATCCTGCATTAGTTTTTCACATTAATTATGAAACTGTATGTAGTTTCTTAGTAGTTCTCTGAGTGGCATGAAAAAATAAAGTCACTGATTAGCTAATAGTGAACTATTGCATTCAACTGAGTGCTGTTACTTACTTACTAATCTGTTAATCAGAGTTTCTTGTGAGTTAATCATAGTTACTAGAGTGGTGTTAATATTGTGTTACTCATTTGTTCATGTGTAGTTATTTATTAATGATGGAACAGTATTATAACATGTTTGTCATTCTGTTCCTTGGCACTATATGCAGTGAAATGCAACTAATGCTGTGTTACTGCATTTATCACACGGCAGTGTCTCACCAGAGTGTCGGTAATGCACTTCCCCACAGCGTATGTCATCCAGTCTTTCCCGGATCTCTCCTAAAGCTGCTTTGACGTCCCCAAGTGAGAAGTGCAGAGTCAGCTCATCCACCTCATGCATGTCCATATCTGAGTCCTGCAAGGGACTGTTGGCTTCCTCAAAACTCTGCCATCAAAAAAAGATCATCACATTCAAAAGAATCTGGTGGAGATCTTTGCCTCTAATTCGTCCGCCTTTTATGCCCTAAATAATTATTCTGAGAGTAGTTGCACCACAAACTCTTAAAAAGAATGGTCAAGTGAAATAAAAAGTGCTTTAGTGTAGTGTGATAATTTTATAACTTGTGAAGCCCTGTGATTTCAGACATGTCCTGTATCCTGTCTTAAAGGGGTCATATGATGCGATTTCAGTTGTTCCTTTCTCTTTGGAGTGTTACAAGCTCTTGGTGCTGCCCTTTCTTGAACTGATGATAAAACTAACGACATTATTAACTGTCTTGATATTTACTTTGAAAGATGAAGCTTGCGATTATGGTAAGGGGCGTTACATTTCTGACGCGTGCTTGCGGTGTTCGGCCAATCACAATGCACTGGGTCAGCTGGCCAATCAGAGCAGACTGCGCTTGTCGGAAGGCGGGACTTTGTAGAAAACGAAGTGTTTGAGAGAGGCGGGGCATAGAGGACCTACAATAATGTACAGTATTTGAAAAATAATGTGTTTTTTGAACATTAAAGCATGTCAACATATTCTGTTACACCAAATACACCAAATAATGATCTTTAAAATAGCATCATATGACCCCTTTAAACTATTTCCCATTTCTCCTTATGTTTTTCTTGTCTCTTGTTGAGTATTTTCAGGTCTAGTCTAGTGTACTATAGTCAAGTCATTGTTCTGTTTCTTTGTTTTGATGTGCATTAATAATCTGCACTTGGGTTGAACTGCAATTTGCCTCCAGTGGATATTCATTACTGACAAGTTCCAGGCTAGATTCTTGCTTTTCCAAGAAACCAAAAATGTCATCAGCTAAATCATAACACAATAGGTAAAGAAACTACCCAGACAGCAACAAGTGTCGGCCCAGATCCGGCCCACATCTGGTTTTTTCAGCGCTTGTACAGACCTTGTGTTGACCCTGACCCTGATCTAGTCACAATTCACCAAAGCACAGACAGATCTGTCTGCTTCCCAGGAATCCTCACACAGCTGGCTCCGGGGACTGCACAAATATGCCTTCCCCCAGTGATCCTGACTGCACAGACACTGTTAAGACCCTAAAGGTACCCCCTGGCATTGTTATATAGAAGAACTAGGAACGCCACTGCGCTTGAGGAAATCCAGTCTCCATCCACTGCAATGCTCAGTCCTCCACACATTCAGAAATTACGGCTAAAGAAGCATAATGTCAGCTTTGACTGTAAAATGCCATTGACTCTCAGGTGTCTCGTGACCAGCTGTACCATACTAAACGATTTATCTTTAACTTAATATCTTTTGAATGAGATGTGACTGCGTTAAACGAGCATGAAAATTTTCAGCAGTTCAAACCTTAAATTTCACAATTTCAGTTTCTCACATTAAGATATTGTTTTTGCGCTCAGAAGGTTTGAAATGCACCATGTCTTGTACTTTTTTTTGTCACTTTGTGCAGTAAATAACTATGGATGTATAATGTCTTAATAGTGACACGCAAGGCACTTGACCATAATTCAGTGTTTGATGCCTTGAGTGAGAACTGCATGTGGTTAAAAAAATAATAACAGAAGAGATAAAAACAGACACAGAGAATCAGGGGTGTTTGTTATAGGGCTGCATCTTTGTACCTGAAGGAAACCGATATGGTCGTCTGAAATAGCCTGTGCCTCTAGTCGGCCTCTACGCTCTTGCAGCTGCGCTAACTTTGTCTCAAGCTGGGTGACGATGCTTTGTCCTCGTCCAATCACAGCCTCTCTCTTCTCCTCAATCCCGCCCACCAGCTCGCTGCGGATGCGATCTACGGAGTGTGTGACGTCAGACAGGAGCTGCTCCACCTCGGACAGCTCAGTCTGAGCGTAGCTCTGTCAAACACATCGTACAAGACAAGCCTGTGCTGCAGCACCATTCAAAGGGACAGCTCAAAATATTTTTGGTGCAGATGTTTATTATAAGGATGATTTTAGCAAAGTTTTTGAAATATGTGGAGATGCGTGATTAAACATCACTGTCAAAAAAAGTCCCTTTTGCCGTTTTTCACAGTAGATTTCTAAAAGCTATCCATAGCTTTTAAACTCAAAAGACAATTATACATATGTTTCATTCATCTGTATGCTGCAAACCGTGCAATGACAGTAAAGCTTGACTAGAGTTTTAAAATACCTGCAAGGCATGTAGTTTGCTCTTCAGCTCAGTCAGCTGGGCATTTCTTTTGTCAGTACATGTCTGAAGGTCCAGTTCTGTTTTTCCCACGAGTCTCTATGAGGTGAGAGAAAAAATAAAGTCTCTTAGATCTAAAATCTCTCTTCTCTCAGTCTTTTGGGAAGAACTAAACATCAGTCTCTCTTTATGGTTGGGTGCTTCTGAAATATTACATGGCAGTCAAAAGAGTCAAAAAAGCCCATCTATGTCTTTAAAATCATAAAAATCACAAAATCATAACTCAGTGGTGTGGGTTGAGTAAGCTCAGAGAACACATCCAGCTGGGCCATCCTGCGCTTCTGTGACAGCCTAGAAAACATCCAACATCCACGCATTGAAAAATGATCAGCCCCTGACTCTGGGGTAGACTAGTCATTGTCAACCGGGTTGAGTTATTATTGACTGACATTAAAATGCTGGATGCAAAAAACATAAAATCAAGATGTAAACTGAAATGATATTTGGAAACTCAGAAGCTAAGACTAGGAGACTCTTGGGTATTTCTTAGCAGAGTTCTTTATTGAGAATGAACACGACGCTGCAGTCATCAAAAGTCTGACTAAGGCAGTGATACATTGTAGTTTATATACATTTAGGGGGCAGTGCTTAGGAATGGAAACAAAGCACCTGGGGGACGACCTTAAACAAAGCATGCAAATAAAGTATTCAGATATAGCAACCTGCCCCATTTCACCAGTCCTAATCCAATCAGCATAACTAGTCAAAGAATGGGACACAATAGTGATTGTATGTCAGGACATAGGATCAGTAGATCTAAGACAGATATTTACATTTGTAATCCCACACCCCCCTTCAATATGTTGTTTTATTTTTATTTTTTTCAATTGAATGACATACAGTTCTTAAAACATCTTAATAGGAGATCTGATTTTTGATTTAAGTCAACATCGCCCTTTTTTCTCTGTTTTTACATAGGTCTCTCTTACAGTCCTACAGCATGTATATGGTTCTTATTTAGAATGTGTAATTTTTTCTGCTTATTGTAATGTAGATGAACTGCATTGTGACTGCATCACACCTTAATCAGAGAAATAACACCGACGGTTGCGTATGGGCTTGAAAACGTGTTTTCTTTTTATGTGTGGTCACTCTAAAGATGATGAGTGGTATTTAACTCAATTTCTAATAATCCCATGTAAATGTTTAAAATTTCCCCAGAACTACACACATACAGAAATGTATTTTGCGCTCTGTTACCTGTGTCAGTAAGCAGTGCGCAGTAGGCATACGCATTTGAACTGTTTCTATATATTGTTTTGTGTGTAAACTGATGTTAAACATTACAGTCATCTGCAGTAAACATTTTCTTTTTATGTGTGGTCACTCTAAAGATGATGAGTGGTATTTAACTCAATTTCTAATAATCCCATGTAAATGTTAAAAATTTCCCACAGAACTACACACATACAGAAATGTATTTTGCGCTCGGTTACGTGTGTCAGTAAGCAGTGCGCAGTAGGCATACGCATTTGAACTGTTTCTATATATTGTTTTGTGTGTAAACTGATGTTAAACATTACAGTCATCTGCAGTAAACATTTGAAAACGTTCATCTGATGCGCAGAACGCTGGTCAGGTTAGGTCAGGTTATAGGCTGCCAGGCACTGCTGTCCCGTGGTGGTTTGGAAAACTAATGTGGCTGCTGAAGTATTTCCGGTGACTAGTAGTTTAGAATTCCATGAGCATTGCAGGCATAGACACTAAACACTAGCACTAAACCAACATTAACCAGCATAAAGCAGGTCTTTTCACAGGGAGGTGCCTAGTCATGAATGCACAACCACACAGCATTAGATGTGCAGGACAAAGGTCATGCGCACAAACATTTTGTAAAATGCTGAAAATCAGGTTTAACAACGTCTGGTTGAGTTCCTTTACTGAGGTTCTAAATACTGTTCCAACATGCAGCGCATAAACTGCATCTTCTTACTTATTTACCCTTGTGAAAAAAAAGTATACAGCCTACAAAAAAAACAGAAACTTCATTTCTTGCTATACTGGAAGCAAAGCAGGCTTTATGGACAGATCCCCAGCAGCACAGAGAGAAGATTCACAGAAGATTCACTCAGCTATAGAGCTGACTTTCCTGTGATGTGTTTCTGATGTTGTGTTGAATCCTCTTGTATTTGTGTGCAGTGAATCTCTTTATCTTGACAGCGCAGGTCTCTGTGTGCATGCTGTCTTGTGTGCGAGCCTGTCCAGTTGAACATGTTTTCCTTCAACACACAGGGATTGGCCACGGCTCCCAAAAGCAGTCGAGTAAGTCTGACAGGCTAGGCCAGTGCGTATTAGACACAGCGAAAATATGTGAGAGGAACAGGAGTGTGTCAGGGAAGGACAAATGCCCTTTGAAGCATGGGCAGATCTGACTGTGTCAGTCAAAGTAATCCACTGAATAACACATCGAATTACAGAGGAGTCTGATTCAGCTTCAGATGGTTTGTGAATGCCTTCCACCAGAGAACCTGCACAGAAGCACACATCCAACAACACTCGAGGCTTAGAGAATCTGGTTTACAAAAGAAAAAGAAACGGTTTGTGAGGAAAATGTGTATTTTATAAAATATAAAAAGAACTTGAACACCTCAATAAATCAAGCCTCAGTAAAGCTGAACATGGCGGACGTCCATGAGACCGACCGCTAGAGAGAGGCATCAATAAATGAAGAATGATGAGGAAAAGTATTTATTTAATGTTATGTGTGTTGTATGCATCTGAAACAACAACAAAAAAATTATTAATTGACCAGCAACCAGTGAGTAGCACACAAATCATATTACAAATCAGGATCACAACAGAAAAAACAATAATAATAATAATAACAACAATGATAAATGTAACAAAAACATATCAAAAGAAAAAAAAAGAGAAAATACATGCAGAATATTCATCGCAACACATAATGGAGGAAAACAAAAACAACCATGTCCAATTTACATCACCATATTTATATACCTAGATAAATAAATAGGGGTATGTAGATTTATATTTCCTTTTTCATATTATGAGTACCATGCTGGGATCTTCACTAACCCTCAACGATCTCAATGGTTCTTCCCACATTCTGTTAAATGACGTGTTTACCCATAAGATGGAATCTAAATTTTTCTAGGGATATATGGTCTTTTATCATAAGTAGCCATTCCCTATATAATGGAGGGCTATCTCCAACCGATTTGTTCATAATGGCTTTTCTTGCAGCATCAACAAAGAATGAATAATGTCTTTATGTTCCTGTAGTCTCAGCGTCAGACGTCACGCCCACGGACCGCTGGCTAAACGCCTGATGCATATGGCACACAAAAGTGGAAACACTTCAGGAGTTTCGAAGTCGTCGTTGGATTGGTTGAATTCTACAGGATTTCCGGGAGACGTGTGTGTCGCGTTCTTTAGCGTTCCGCTGGAAACAAAGATGCCGTGACGCCAAACTCCCTCACGAAAGAAGAAAGCCGTCGTGTTTACAACTGTGATGACAAGCGCTTATCAGGATCAACTAAATTGTTTGACATGTCAGTCAAACGGCCTCATGGGCGGGCCTTGGCCAATGAAAGCTGCCATGGATTCCAGACATTCAGCCGTCAGTCTGAAGGTCTGGCTACGCGAGACTAATGTTCCTGTAAAGAAGGAGGCAAAATGCCGGGTAAACACATAATAGGTGAAGCTTTAACTGTAACTTTGCAAACGTCTGAAAGGGCCTTACAAATTAAAATCCTAAATTTTATCACATTACATTCCCACAGAAAATTAGTCCAGGTGATATGTGCAAAATTTGAGGTGATATGTTCACTTTTTCATAAAAGCATGAAATTGGTACAGTTGTACAGGTTAGGGCCCTGAACATTTTCAGAAATGGAGCCATCGCAAAAACAGCTCGTGGTTGCCATGGCGACCATTTTACTTTACGCCATAACCAAATGATGTATTTTGTGTCATATCTCCCGAACTAAACATGATAACACAGAAAAGGTGATGTCTACCCCTATGTTTTGGTGGTCAAGGATTACAATGATACAATATACAAAAACATAAACTGTTCAGGTGAAGAGTTAATGTATGTAATAAGAGTAAAGTGTCTGAGCAACACAGTATCACAGCATTTATAATAGTCCATAATATGGCTATTCTTTTTTCTCTTTCTTTGATAATTAACTAATATTTTATTCAATAGTACAATAAAAGATTGCTTTAATTAATTAATTATTAATTTGTTACATTTATATAGCGCTTTTCTGGATACCATAGACTGTATAAAAACCGCTGGGTACTCAAAGCACTTTACATGGAAGGGGGAATTTCCGCAACCACCACCAATGTGCAGCATCCACCTGGATGATGTGACAGCAGCCATATTGCGCCA